ATCTTCTGTAGTATCTAGTTAAGCCTAAGAAACTTTGGACTTCAGTAACATTAGACGGTCTGGGCCAATTCACTACTGCTTCAATCTTCTGTGGGTCAACTAAAATGTCATCCTTACTGATCACATGTCCCAAAAATATTACATTGTCTAGCCAAAATTCACACTTCATTAGTTTTGCATACAGTTTCTATTCTCTTAAGGTCTGTAAAGCAATATTCAAATGATGTTCATGTTCTTCCGTGCTTTTGGAATAAATCAAAATGTCATCTATGAAAACAACTACAAATTCATCGAGGATGGTTTGAAAATTCTATTCATAAGGTCTATAAATGCAGCATGTGCATTAGTAACTCCGAAAGGCATAACAAGGAATTCGTAATGTCCATACCTCGTCCGAAAGGCAGTCTTTTCAATGTCCTCTGGTTTGACTTTCAGCTGGTGGTATCCGGATCTAAGGTCAATTTTTGAAAAGACCTGAGCACCCTGTAACTGGTCAAATAAATCATCAATACGAGGCAATGGGTATTTGTTTTTTACTGTTACCTTGTTTAGTTCACGGTAGTTAATGCAGGGTCTCAATGAGCCGTCTTTCTTTTTCACAAACAAAACTGGAGCGCCCCATGGCAAAGTACTAGGCGTGATGAATTTCTTATCCAACAGTTCTTGCAGCTGAATTTTCAATTCTTTTAGTTCGGTAGGTGCCATTCTGTACGGAGCCTTGAAAACTGGCTGTGTACCCGGAATCACATCAATGGTGAACTCAATGTCCCTGTCAATCAAATCCCCGGGCAAATCGTCTGGAAAAACATCTGGAAATTCTCTGACTATAGGAATACTATCCACATTAGCTTTAGCATTAGTAGGTACAGTCAATATACAACATAGATACTCTTTACACCCCTTTGTAATTAGTTTAAATGCTTTCATGGATGAAATCAGGTATGGGAGAGGTACTACTCTAACTCTGTTAAATACAAATTCAGGCAATCCAAGTGGACAGAAAACAACTTGTTTTGTTACACAGTCTATGGTAACATGATACTTTGTTAACCAGTCCATTCCCAATATCACATCAAAATGATCGATATTCAAAGGCAGCAAATCAATATACAAATGCACATCTCCAACAATAATTTCACATGCAGGGTACATATAAGCACAAGTCATGGATCCCCCAACAGGTGAAGATACAGCTAACAAATAATTCATGGGTTACAGTGGTCTATTTAGTTTTCGTGAAAAAGCATGCGAGACATATGAATGTGTAGACCTTGAATCAATCAGAACATAAGTATTTTGAGTATAGATTGAGAGTATACCTGACACAATGGTCTCGGTATTCCGCACATCTCCTAGTACAAGTGCGAATAATCGGCCTTGTTTTAGAGCCTTCTTTCTGGTAGTTTTGGGGTTGGGTTTCGGTGGAGCAATTAATGCTGCGGCGCTAGCTGCAGCGCTAGCTGCAGCTTTACTATTGCCTTGAGATGTGGAAGGGCAATCTTTAACCATGTGGCCTACCTTGCCACACCTGTAACAAGCACCAGAAATTTTATAACAAACCCCTTTATGTCTTTTCCCACATTCGGAGCAAGGTGGTATGGAACCATTTCCCTGGCTTGAACTGGTCGTTGACCCTGTATTTTGCTTCTTATTCGATGAGTTATTTCGGCATTTCTTAAACTTAAAACCCCATCTCTTACCACACCATTCAGTCGCTGGTGTTTCGGTCTGTTTTAATGCCTCGATGTTCGACTCAGATATTATCACCCGGTCAAGAACATCCACATATTTCAGTAACTTCAGCACATTGATTCTATCAAGTATCTCTACATTAAGGCCGCCTTTAAACTTTTTGGCTTTTTTGTAATCAGTGTCCACCATGTGTGGCGCATATCTGGCGAGTTCAGTAAACTTTGATTCATACTCTGCTACCGACATGGTGCCCTGTTTCAACTGTTCAAACTCAGTCATGACAGTATTAGTGTCGCGAACAAGCATCCACCACCTTCTAGCCTCTTCTTGTAAAGTAAAGGTAGCCAGCAATACCTTGTGTGCTTTGGAACACGGAAACACTTCAAATAATTTCTCTGTTTCTAGAACCCATGCTTCGGCCTTTAACGGTTTAAGGCCTCCCTAAAAGGATGGTGGTTTCATTTTACTGAGCTTCTGTGTTAGAGAAATTATATCATCATTAACCTTCTGCTCGGGTTAAACTGGAGGAGGTGGGGGCTGTTGGTTCTGTTGTAGCCTCAAGGCCTCAGTCAACAGTTCAACTGTTCTTTCTAATCTTGTCATTCTGGCATCAGATGATTTCGTTTCATCGGCATTCATTGCATTGTCCATTTCACTATATGCAATACAGTAATAATAAAAATAGGAATTGCTTACTTAAACACATTAGCACATTAGCACATATATTCATGTCATGGCCACACACACTTTTTTAATGCTCATGCAATGCCCTATTCACTTTTCTAGGACATCCTAGAGCTCATTTGGACACATGTGTGCGATATAACTCGTGGTTTGATATCTCTCTGATACCACTCTGTCACGACCCAAATCCGCCCCTATGGGTTTAGCACCGTAACCGGCCAGTAATCCATGATTACCGAAGGCCTGCTTAATAGTAAAGACAGTAATGCAGAGTACAGGGGCTGGCAGAAGCCAAAATCAGTAATAAAAAATGTCCAATGAGCTGTGACAGTCTGTATGCAAAAAGACTTTTCCGAATATAATCACATTCGTAAGCAAAACATATATACACCATATGTACAAACATTCAGGTTAGGAACCAAATCCCTAATTAGCACAGTACAGTACAAGTCTTAAACAGTATTACAAAACAGAGACGGAATGGTGAAACTGAGACACCCTAAAACAGCCTTAGCTCGGTTAGACTTGGAACCTCGAAGTGAGGCACAATGGTTAGCTTGACAAAAAGGGAGTTAACCCGACGCTCCTAGCTCCGGTCCGGTGCCTGGACACCTACATATAAATATAAACAGTGAGCTAAAGCGCAGTGAATAACATATACGTAAAGGGGTTAAGAATGAATGTCCTTTCAGTATTTAACACAGTCATTTAGAAACCATAATGGTCATCTGTGGTACATCCCATAGCAAAACAGTACAGTAGGTCTTAACAGACCGAACAGTTAGTTGATGTTTATCATAACAGTAAACAGTAATGGTTCCAAACATGGGAACCGACAGAGATCTCTGTAACAGTAGCAGTAACAGTACAGTAACAGTAGATTGCTATGAATGCCACGAATTCAGTGCACAAATAGGACAAACATTCATTCAGTAAGAAATATCATTTCAGAAAGCAGTACAGTAGATCATTCAGAAAATATTCATGATTGAACATATCTTTACAACATTGTTACTCACAGAGCACTGGGCTATAGGCAGCTAATGAGCGTCCTCGGATGCCAACCCTAAACAGTTACAGAACGAACACACATTAAGTTACACACTTGGGAATCAACAACTTAGTCCCTATCTTGACTCGGTGTGGTGCTACATCAATAACCTTATTAAGATGCCTTAAACTAGGTCTAGGAATGCCTAGGATGAAATGAGGATGCAAAAATGTACTTTAAAACACTTTTTAAAATTTTTAGAAAATAGGGGTCTCGCTCGAGCGTGGCTTTCTTCGCTCGAGCGAGCTTGTCAAAACAGTGGGGTTGCTCGAGCATGGACTTCCTCGCTCGAGCGGTCTGTAAAAATGCAAAAAGTGCTGGATGTTGAAAATCTCCGCTCGACGCTCGCTCGAGCGTGAGACACAGTCCTCGCTCGAGCGTAGGTTCTCTCGTTCGAGCGTGTGTCTATGTGCACCAAAAACCTGAGAGCTTGCAATTCACGCTCGAGCCAACATTCCGTCGCTCGAGCGGACCTTTGAATACACAGGGGCTCGCTCGAGCGTGGAAGCCAAAATCTGAAATTTCCAGATTTGCCTCCCAAGCTCAAACCAAGCATGCAACACCTCAAAACTCAACCTTTTGGGTCAATTTTTTGGAAAACACTTGAAAACCAACAATATAACATGTCTTTAAAGATCAATTTGTAAAATCAAGCCCAAAAGTAAGCCAATTGAACACAATTACAACCCAAATTTCAAGAACAAAACAAAAACACAACATGCATGATCTCCTTTAAATTCCAACACCTCAAATCAAGATTAAATTGGCAATTTGATGGAAAAACATGATGAATTCATGGACTACAATCAAAACATGAACTTGCATGTAAGATTTCATGAAAAACAACTTCGAAATGTCATAATATGAACATGCATGTATGAATTCACTCTCAAATTCAACTCTTAAATTAGTTCTTGACATTATATCATCAATTTACCATGAACCACGCAAGATACAACTTAAACTCACAATTGAGAGGATGAATTCCTTACCTAGGTCTTGAACCTCAACTGTGCTAGTTCAATTTTGCAAAATCCCTTCAATTCTTCTAAAATTCAAGTCAATTCTTGTTGAAGAACTCAATTTCTTTCACTCTCCCTTTCTCACTCGGTTGGCCTAAGGGAATGGCTGAAGGAATGTTGCCTCAATTACATAAATTAAGTCCCAAACAAGTTTTGTAGGAAATGGCCACTCAATGGCAAAATTGTAATAAACTTGAACTAATGTAATTTAACTTTATTTAATCTAATTTAATCATACCAAATCGTATTTCGATTAAATCTACCATAAAATCACATAAATTCTAATTAGCCTAAAATACCAATCAATTTTAGATTCAGCCGCCGATAAGGCCTTCAATTTACAGTTCGAAACTTAAAACATGAACAGATCAATCAGATGACAAATAGATAGAAATGCAATTAAGGTAATACACTTATGCAATCAATTCTGAATTTCAGTCCGATCAATTACTTATCATGCTTAATCATAGATTAGCACAAATCAGAGGTCTTGTCCTAATGTTAGTAGAGACGTGATGCAAGAAATGATGAAACATTTACAAAACAAGAAAATGAGTAGAGTAGACAAACAAAAGAGAAAAGCTGAATTGGAAGCACATATTAAGGGAGATGATCTCTATGATGAGGATAAAGGGGGAGATTTTGTAGATCTTCGAGATGATGACTCTGACTCTAATCTAGAGATGACTAGGGCTAAACAAGCAAGTATTCGTTCACAACAACAATGGGAGGAAAGGCAACAATTTAGACGAGGTGTTACAGGTCATGGATCAAAATACGATGCAGGTGGTAGTTCTGGTGCAGTGGGTAGTGGTCAAAGAATGCCAAAAGGGTCAGGTATTACTAATGTTTTTCGTCGATCACAATCTGTGCATGAAACTAGTGGGAGTTGACGTAATTGGATTAAGCCCAATGCTCCTGAAGCAAGGTTGAAGGCAATAGATGTAGAACTCCAAAAGAGCAAGAGTACAAAGCAGCGAAAAATCTCTACAATGAATTTACAGAAGTTAAGAGAAAGATTGGGACGGGCAGTGTCCAAGTTTATACTCTATAATCGTATTACATTCAATGCAGTTGATTCAGAGTATACACAACCTATGCTTGATGTTGCTACTGAAGTAGGGCCAGGAGTAAAGGGTCCTAGTGCTTATGAAGTTTCTAAAGTATATTTGGGCGTGGAGCATGATGAAATGATAGAATGGATAGGCTCATTCAAGGGAATTTGGGCAGAGAGAGGTGTATCCATCATGTGTGATGGATGGAGCAGTCTAACTCGGCAACACATCATCAACTTCTTAGTGTACTGCAATAGAGGTACTATATTTCACAAATCAATTGATGCATCTAATATTATTAGTAGGACTGGTGAATATTATTTTGGGTTGTTAGATAAAGTTGTTGATGAAATTAGAGAACAATACATTGTTTAAGTGGTAACTGATAATGAACCTGCATTGAAAGCTGCCGGTAAAATGTCAATGAGAAAAAGGAAACATTTATATTGGACAGTTTGCTCAGCACATTGTATCGATCTCATGTTAAAAGACATAGCTAATAAGAAAAGTGTAGCAAAGGTGATTGAAGATGGTAAAACCATCACCAATTTCATTTATAATAGTGGATGGGTGTTGGATTTAATAAGAAAATTCACTAGAGATAGAGAATTGATTCGACTTGCCATCACTCGATTTGCTACAAATTTTATTGCTATTGAGAGTATTGTTAGATATAAACAACAATTGAAAGCTATGTTTAATAGTGATGAGTGGAAGAATTCTAGATATGGGAAGGCAAAGTCTGGGCAGCCTTACAATGTGAAAAAAATTATTTTGGGAAAAGAGTTTTGGCAGAAAGCAAAAAAGCTTTGTAAGGTTCATAAGCCCCTAGTCAGAGTATTGAGGTTGGTTGATGGGGATGAGAAGCCAACAATGGGTTTTATATATGAAGCTATAGATAGAGCAAAGTTGGCAATTAAAAGAGATTGTCGCTACTACACCGAGTATTGAAAAATTATTAATACTCGATGGTCTTTTCAGTTGCATCAGGATTTGTATGCGGCTGGTAAGTGTTACGATTTCAATTATAAAATGTATACTTATTTACAATTATTAATTGTCTTTTTATTTTTGAAGGATATTTTTTAAATCCTCAACTCCAATATAGTGTTACCTCATCCAACGAAATAATAAGAGAAATGATGGATGAACTTAAAAAAGTAATTACCAGACTAGAGCCTGATATGGATGCTCAAGTGAAAGCAACAAATCAAGTACGTAACAATTATTTAAATTTTGTTAGTAATAATCAACTTTGCAAATGTTACTTCTAATGATTGTCCAAACTGTAGTTGTTACTATTTCGAGATAAACAGGAAACTTTTGGCACTCATTTAGCACAAAGAGCATGGAACACAATCAAATCCAAGTTTTATTTTCAAAATTACAAATTTACAATATATAAATACTTCTATAATTTTCTATCATATTTTGACTTATGTCTAATGTAATGTAATTTTGTGCAGTTGAGTGGTGGATTATGCATGACAGTTATGCTCCTGAGCTTCAAAAAATAGCTGTGAAAGTATTAAGTCAAACCACCACATCATCTCACTATGAACGTAATTGGAGTACTTTTAGTCTCATCCATATGAAGACGAGGAATAGATTGAAATATAAGAAAATTTAAAGATTAGTCTTCATCACCTACAACATGAGATTAAAATTGAGACACGTTAAAAGAAGCAGCCAAGAGGAGATTGAGAGGAGTTTTAATCCTATTAACTTGGGTTACATATTTGAAGAAGATGATCCAATAAGTCCATGGATAGAAGAAAGGGAAAATCCTTTACTAGATGGTGTGGATAATTCTGAATGGTTAGATTTGGTCTCAGATGATGATGGTGGTGGTGGCGACGACAACAATGGTGATGACAGTGATGGAAATGATGGTGGTGGCACCCATAGATATCAAGTTCGACGCACTTCTCAAAACTCAACTCCTACTCCAACTCAAAGTGATAATAGTGGTGGTTTAACTCCATCTGATGGAGGATGTGATGATGGTGATGGTGATAGTGAAGGCACTTCTCACGGTGACGGTGGTGGCGGCGGCGGCGACAATGGTGGTGATGGTACTAGTTTTAGTGCAAGAAGTGAAGATTTTATTAGAGGATTTGGATTATGTGATGTTGGGGAACATTATGATATTGGAGAACCTGTTGCACCTTTACCCCAACTACCTAGGAGGTTTCGTGGTAATGATACACGTAGGGATGAAAGAAGAATAAGAAGTAAAGAACAACAACTTGATTCATCTTATAGTAGTCATAGTTATCCATATCACCCTTACCCATCCTATAGCAGTGATAGCCAGAGCTATTCTTACCCACCTCAACAAAATTATCCTTAGCCCCCCTTAACAACATGGTCCTCTAGGATACGGTTTTCCAAATTATCAACAAGCCCAAGAAGAGTATGTTGATCCTTTTCAGCGAAGGTATCAATTTTCTCTCCCAATGGACGAAACAGAAAGGGATGACATGATGAGCACATTTACTTATATATTTCCTACTGGATGGGGTGAAGGTAGTAGCAATCAAGCTCAACAATCTAATTCCCAGGATGCACCATGTCACTCATTTTGGTGGGATGAAGGTAGCAGAAACAATCAAGCTCGACAATCTGAATCCCAAGATGCACCACGTTACTCATTTTAGTGGTGACATTATGTAATTTTAGTGGTAACATTATGTAAAATATACTCTCTGTTGTTTGTGATTTATGCTATGGTGTTATGTGCTTTGGCAAGTTCTTCCATTAAGGATGTATACTTTTTAAAATTATTTGAGTTAAAATGTACATATGCTTCCACAAGTATAATAATTAAAAATAATTTTATACATCTAAGTCCAATAAAAGAAATTTTTGCCACAAGTGTAATATGGATTTATAACATATAATGTCATTCATTATTGAAATAAAATGTAAAAAAATTCATTTTCTAGTGATTTAAAAATATGAAATACATTAGATCATACTTAAAAATTATGAAAAATTTAACAAAATTTATTTTAAAACCCAATAAATATGATTCTAAAAAAAAAAAAAAATATGCGTATCGGTAAGTTTTTTGCAAATTGTGCGAAAAATAAAAAAATTCACAGTTCCAGTAACTGCAACCGTTACGCTGCGACCTTTACACCCCGCAACCACAATCACAACCGCCTCACCGCCACCATTACGGCGACCGCGACCACTTTTTAGAACCTTGTTAGAGAGAGAGAGAGAGAGTTGGAAGCAATAACAACAATACATTTATCTCATTCATACAGTCTATTTGATATCTATGATGGTCATAACACTCATAAAACTCAATTTACTCCTTTTTTTAAATTTCTAAGTTGACAACCTGTCTTCTTTAGCATCATAATAATGCATATCCTTGTGTTCTCTCCACAATCCTAAATTTGTATCTTCAGTGAAATTTCCCACTCCTGCATACTTAGCTTTATATTCTCTCCATAACTGATCAACTGGTTTTCACACCAACGCAACAAAGTAGTTCAAACTCCATGGGTCCCTCATCTTCCTGTTCATCGCGGCCACGAACCCAGGTTTCAAACCATCACAATATTCCAGAAATCGAGCTGTGATAGAATATCCTCGATCCCACCTCTTACCTGATCCAGGCCTCGCAAAAAACTCTGGCTTGTAGTATTTTGCTTTCAAGGCGGTAATCTGCTATGCCTTCAATAAGTACGGTGGGAGTCATTGGAGGGTACCTGTTGGTCAAATAAAAGGGGAAAATTCACTTCAGGGTAATTTTAAAAAAGAAAATGATATAAAAATTCACCTTTTAAACTTATTTTCTAAATTTAATGATGATTAGTTGATGATTGCGAAAATATGAAAAAGAATGTTACCTTAAATATCTTAATTGATTACTATACCATTCGGCTTGAATATTGAGTCTGTTTTTAAACTTATATAATAATGTACTTTTAAAAATTAAGTACAAATAAATGATAATTTATAAATTTAATAATTAAAAAGATAAACTTTTTCATAAATTTGTAATAAGTTTTTGAAACAACTACTGATTAATAATTTCTCCTAAAATAAATAATAAACTAAACTCTCCTTAGTAGAAAACATCTTGTTTGAGCCGCTTATTGGGCACACGTGAGGACCGTGTTAAGATTATAAATAATAAAATTATTCATTCCTATCTTATTAAGGGGTTGTTTGGAATGACCTAAATAAGTGTACTTTTTGTCTTTTTACGAAAAGATGTGCAGAAAAATAGAGAGATGATGTGATGAAAAAAAGATAAAAAGATAAAAAGTATATACTTATTTAGGATAGTCAAACTTGACCTAAGAATATAAATAATAAAGTTATCTTTTTTTCCAATCTTTTTAAGTTTTATGTGAGTAGCTTGATGAGAACATAAATAATGGAATGGACTTGTCTCTTTCAAGTTGTGAACTAGACAGTGTTGACAATGTGCGAGCGGATCCTCTAGAGTAACTCTCTAGAGTGATCTCCTAAAGTGGATGATCGGACGGCTGTGGTTAAGCCTCACCAAAACGACGTCGTTTTGGTGAGGACTTTCAAAAAAAAGAAAAACCAGATTTGGGGATTTCAAACTTCCCTCCATATGAAGAACTATACAGACAGACGGCGGGAAGAAGCGAGCGAAACGAGAGAGCGAAGAAGAGTTTGTTTGAGGCCGATACCTGCATCCCCGTTGCCCCGCCGTCGTGCCGTCGCCCCTGCTCTGCTCCAACCGATTGAAACGTACATAGGTATAGTTCGATTTTTTTTTTTTTTGTCTCTTCTAAATCGAAGTTTCTGAATCTGTGGGTTTGTGTATGAATCGAAGTTTCTCTTATACATATATGAACAAGGATTGTTTTTAAATTTATAGATTCATGTTTTAGAAGAGACCAAACCCACAGATTCATGTTAGACATCAATTTTAGTATCTGAACAAGGATTGTTTTTTTAGAAGGGATTGTCTGAATAAACCCACAGATTCATGTATGAAGCTGTACACGAACGAATTGATGCTCTTTACAGATTCAGACATCAATTTTAGTATCAGAACAAGGATTGCTTTTTTAGAAGGGATTGTCTGAATCGAAGTTTCTCTTAGGCTAGAATTCATGTCTGTAAATTTAACAATCAATTCCATGTTTGATAATTGAACCCTGAAAGAATCATTAGTATATGGAACTTAAACTTTGAAGGCCAAAACAAACACAACTGAACTCTTAAACTTATTTTAATAAGAGGCACACTCAGAATTTTATTGAAAGTATTAGTGAAGTAGTTGTAAAAAAAAATTGTTGCTTGATATCCTTTAAAACTTGGCTTACTAAAACGGCATTCATGAATTAAATTTTAGCAATCCTTAGGGATTTGATATTAATTCCTCAATCATGCAAAACACAAAATTAGACTGATCAATGCTGCAAAGCAAGTAACCCAGGGCTTTGTATTATTGTACAGTCATAAGAACACAAGGTCACAAATTAAAATTGACAACATATTACCTAAGAGTGCAAATGCTGGATGGTCATGTATATTAAGCAACATATAGTGCATGAATGCTTCAAAGGACTCATTTATATTTTTTTCTTTTGAATACCTGCTGTAGTGCACATCTTAAAACCACACTGTGGTACATAACAAAGACCATAATTTAGTTTGTATTATTCAGTTTGTTTTTCGTTGATTATCTTATTCAGTTTGTATACAGTTTTTATGCTAATATGGAGCACTTCTTAATTTTTTAAGTGACTTGGCACATTCAAATGGAACCTAACAATCATGAGAATGATGGGGGTGAGTGTGATTGGAAGCCTAGAGTTCGCATGACATTTGATACAGAACAAGAAGCATATGATTTCTATAATACTTATGGAGGAAGGTTGGGCTTTAGTATTAGAAGGGGTTATGTAAACAAGAGCAAAGAGGGGCAAATCACTTCAAGGCAATTTGTTTGTAATAAGGAGGGATTTCGGGTTGTCGACAAGCGAGATCCATTAACAAAAAATCCTAGGCAGGAAGTGAGGACTGGTTGTCAAGCCCGACTTGTCATTAAGTGGGATAGGAATATGTAGAAATTTTTTGTTAGTGATTTTGTTGAACAACATAATCATATCTTTGTACCAACAGAATGTATGCATATGTTACCATCCTAAAGGAAGATATCTGCATCACAGGCAACCGAAATAGATTTAGCTGAAAAATCTGGAATCCGTCTTAATGCTGCATTTGAGCTCATGGGTAATGAAGTTGGTGGAAGGGAGTCACTTGGGTTTACAAAACTTGACCAAAAAAATTATTTGAGAACGAAGAGGCAAAACAGCTTAGCATATGGGGAGGCAGGTAGCATTTTGCAATATTTTCGTGACAAATCATTGGAGAATCCATCTTTTTTTTACTCGGTCCAATTAGATAACGAGGAGCAGATTACAAATATATTTTGGGCCGATGCTCAGATGATCATGGATTATGGGCAATTTGGTGATGTTGTCACTTTCGACACTACTTACAAGTTAAATAGTGCACATAGACCATTTGCGTCTTTTGTTGGATTTAACCATCATAGGGAAACTGTGATATTTGGTGCAGCTTTGATGTATATTCTGAAGAGATGGACTAAAAAAGTATGTGTTTGTTATTGTTGCAGCCAAGTTTTCTTCATCACAATATGCATTTTTCAATGCCATCGATGTATTCCGTCCATGGAACCTATCAAGCATTGCTTAACAATGCAAGTAGTTATCACTCGCAAGCTTCAAATAGTCCCGCATGTAGTGAAGTAATTTTTTTTTCACCTTTCCTCTTTTATTTTGTCATTCATTCATTTAAAGTTCCATTTTATTTTATGGTTCCTTTGATGTAATATTATTATTTTTTTTTTGTAGGTACTATATGGTCGTGGTCGTGGGCGTGGCCGTGGGCATGGGGATGTGGATCACACGCCAACATCTTAGCATTATTTTGTTTAGGGAATTTTTGTGAAATTTTTGTTGGATATGTAATATTCAAAACCTTTCATCAAACTGTTGCTAAAAATTTTCTGTTGAAATTACTCAGTAAATGTTGCTGAAACTTTGGTTGAAATGTTGAAATTTTGATTAATTTCATGAAACTGTTGTTGAAATAGAGTTGATGAAATGTTATTGAAATTGTTGCTGAAATTTTGCTGAAATGGAGTTAAAATGTTGCTGAATTTGTTGTTAAATTGTTGCTGAAATAGAGTTAAATTGTTGCAGATTTTTTCTTGAATAATGCTCAAATGTTGCTGAAATAGAGTTGATTAAATGTTGCTGAAATTTTGCTGAAATGGAGTTAAAATGTTACTGAATTTGTTGCTCAAAAGTTGCTGAAATTGAGTTGAAACCTGTTATACAACTTTGAACATTTCATATAATACAGCAACCTGTTATACAACATTCGACATTTAAACATTTTCAATACATTTCAGAAACCTGTTATACAACATTCAACATTTTCAACATTTCAACATTTCAACATTCAACATTATTACATTATTCAACATTTCATAAACCTGTTATACAACATTCAACATTTAAACATTTTCAATACATTTCAGAAACCTGTTATACAACATTCAACATTTAAACATTTTCAATACATTTCAGAAACCTGTTATACAACATTCAACATTTTCAACATTTCAACATTTCGACATTTCAACATTTAACATTATTCAACATTTCATAAACCTGTTATACAACATTCAACATTTTCAACATTTCAACATTTCGACATTTCAACATTTAACATTATTCAACATTTCATAAACCTGTTATACAACATTCAACATTTTCAACATTTCAACATTTCGACATTTCAACATTTAACATTATTCAACATTTCATAAACCTGTTATACAACATTCAACATTTTCAACATTTCAACATTTCGACATTTCAACATTTAACATTATTCAACATTTCATAAACCTGTTATACAACATTCAACATTTTCAACATTTCAACATTTCGACATTTCAACATTTAACATTATTCAACATTTCATAAACCTGTTATACAACATTCAACATTTTCAACATTTCAACATTTCGACATTTCAACATTTAACATTATTCAACATTTCATAAACCTGTTATACAACATTCAACATTTTGGGCAAACAAAATATACACGACCTTCATTTCCATTCGCATTGGTTTGTACAATATGCACGGAAGCTATTCTTCCACAATTACAAAACCTCGGCTTCAATCTTAAGTTCGTATTATCAATAGAAGATGAAGCCATTTTTTATTCTGCATAAAAAAACAAGTTATTAACAAGTGTCTTAGGAAAGTCAATAGGAGACACGGTGTTCCACAGTTCCAGCAATGCACTTCTTGAAAACCAGGGAATGTCAGAAACATGAAGAGAAAATTCCCGAGTGCATCTAATTAAAATATTGATGCTAGTGAGAAAGTTGTCTCTGTATAAGGATTAACAATTAAATTGCATTATGTGGTCGGATTTGTGCATCAAAGTCATCCAGCATACTGAGTAAATAAGACAAATCAAGCAGTTAATTTATACATAATAAAGAACACATTTCCCTTATAGAATTCATCTCCTTGGCATTATTGGTGGAGGACTGGTAGGTATATCCCTGCTGTACCCAATTGCATTGGATATAAAATCTATTTCCATAGTTGATGTAAGATATAATATGCAAAGTTATCTTATAGCTCTCACTTTTTGTGTGTCTGTCTATAGAGTGATTTGATTCTGTGCTGAAAACTCAAGAACTGATCCTAATCACCAAATGTTCATAAGTTCATATTGTCAAATTTTTGTTAATAGCTCTTTACCTTGACTATGTGTAAGTCAGAAGACCTTATTTCAAAATCTTTGGTAAACTGGTATCCAATTCAAGATATAATACCTTAAAACAAGGACCATATCAAGCATCCTGTCACAGATCTTGATTATATGAATTTGACAAATTATCATTGTTCTTCTTTATGCAATTGAATCGCAAGTAACAATTCCGCACACATTAAGGAATACATTAACAAAACCCCACTACTAATAACCACAAGCCTTGTTATTAGCTCCAGATATCTGAGCTGAGCTGGGTTGGGCCCTTAGTATTCACTTTTTATTTATTTATTAAAATAAGTTGCATTTTCAAAGACTGGCAACAAGGGAATTATTTCACCTCATAAACTTGGATAAGCAAATGAAAAGAAAGCGAGAAGAATTTAATAACAAGACAAGAAGATTTTCACGCACAAACCACACAAAGCATGTATTACAAATACCTCTGCATGCACAGCTAGCAGAGTATGCAATAACTCTATAGCAGCATCTCCCAGACCATTTCATGAGGTTCTTCATCAAAACAAAAATGCAAAGCAATGGATGGAATGGAAGAAACCAATAGCAAATAGTAGCATAATGATCTTTTTGGGGTATTTTAAATTGAATAAGATTTTAAGAATTTAGTAATTTATTGAAAGTACTGGGGAAAAAATTTAACTTCAGTTTGTCAAAGCTAAATAAGAACCCAGACACAGATGGCTATATTTACCGATCTCTTGTTGATTTCTGCTTCCACAAGATGAGCTAAAAGTTTCTATGTCTCAATCTGGAAACGAACACAAAAAGGAGAACAATAACCACAAGCCTGGTAATCAACCAATTTTGAATTCCATTTACGATATCCAAAAAAAAAAAAAGGACCTAAACAGTAGGCCATTTTCAAAAAACAATTTTTAAATCAAAATTTTAAAAATTAACTCAAAAAAATGGAACTAAACACAGTGATCCCAAAATGGAACTCAAGAAAAGGCAAATCCCAAAGCCTAACAGGTATCACAAATTAAAGCCAAATCCCAAACCCTAACACAAATACCAAACAAAATCCAACCCGAAACACTCCCAATCGACTAATGTATGGAAAAAAATTGAAGCTGAACGTAAACATAAACCCTAACTTCACTATGATTCAGGTTTACCTCGATTCGCCGTCTCAGGCTCCCCGTTCGTCCTCCGTCGTGGTTCGTCGTCCTCCGTCCTCCGTCCTCCGTCGTGGTTCGCCGCCGTTCGTCCTTTGAACTCCAAACACTCCTTTGAGCTCCTTCACAGTCTCCCCCTCTCACCGTGTGTATACATATGGGGGGAATTTGGGGGAATTTTGAAATCCCTTTTGAATCCCCGAATCTGGTTTTTCTTTTTTTTTTTTTTTTGAAAGTCCTCACCAAAACGGTCGTTTTGGTGAGGCTTAACCACAGCCGTCCGATCATCCACTTTAGGAGATCACTCTAGAGAGTTACTCTAGAGGATCCGCTCGCTGACAATGTTGGGCTATCACCGGTGGTGGAGGGAAGGAGGGCTCAGGTTCACGTACAGTTTTGGATTTTTTATTTTTTATTTTTATTTTTATTTTTTTTTACAAACATAAAAAAATATTTTATATAAAAATAAATTATAAAAATATTATTTAGAGTGACATGTCAATGATATTTTAAAATTATAAGAACAATAATTATTGTTTTGATTGAAATAAAGAGACTACGATATTATTATTTATGAAAATTTCAATATAATGGTGATCTTTATCATTATTGATATTCAAACATAATTAATTTCAATGAAAACATAGAATTTATTGAATTGTTAAGTTACATTTAATATGCAGGGTTCACCCTCCATGTGTTTCTTTATTATTGGTTAATAATATCACATGTCAATTATTGCGTGGTATAACTATTATATTGAATTTTTACGCATATTTTGTGTAAAAAAAATTACTTTATCATTATATAATTTATTTTAAAACTTTATATCCATGACTTTTTTTAATGTTGTCCATGATACACTAATTACAAATAACATATTCACTTTGTTTGGTTTGAGTTTTCTAAAAACACTTTTCAAAAAATTCTACGTATTTGTTTTTCGTATTTTTTTATTTTATTGAATTTTTTTAATATCTTAAGTAATTTTTTAAATTTTTAGACACACCTAATATAAATATGCTTAAAAAGTATAATTTTTGCGAAAAAATCTTTAAAAAATTCACTAATTACTAAAAATATAAAAAAATACAAAAAATCAATACATTTTTCATATTTTTATGTACTTATTAATTTTTTAAAATATTTTTTCACAAATATTTTATTTTTTTTAGATACATCATGTATCAACAAAAGTAAAAAAAAAAAAATACTTAAAATTTTAAAAATATTCACTAAAAAAAGAATAATAATAATAATAATAATAATAATAATAATAATAATAATAATAATAATAATAACAATAACAACAACTTAATTTTCAAAAAGCTTAATTCAAAAAACTCAAACTAAGCATACTTATTTTTTTTTTAATCTTTCTTGAAGTCAATCGTAAAAATTTTTGTGAAATATTTTTGTAAATATTTTTAATGTTGTCATTAATAAGTGGCCCATCTAATTTATTTTCTTGGCTCCGCCACTGGCTATCACTGGCCCTATTTGGAGAATATGATTAGTTTATTTTATTAGTTCATGTGTGTAAAATTGTAAATTATAAAATAAAAAAAAAGATATTTATTTAATAATTATAATTATATAATTTTATCATAATTTTTAAAAATAAAAAAATAAACTATCTACTTTTAAAATTATATTAGCAATCTATTTTTTAAAAGAATGATTAAATCATTTCACTATAATTATCGGAGCAGATTGGATTTTTAAAGCGTGACCACAAGTTGAAAACCCCAAAAACCCGAGCAACACCATCTAATTCCCAAAAAAAAAATCATGCTTGATAAATAATAAATTCATCTTCTTCTCTAACGATTGGGTGCTTCGGTACTTATTTGGTACCTTTTTTTTTTTACTTACCCTAATTTTTAGTGATTTTTTTTCAAATTTTTTCAAAAACTTGAAATTTAAAAATTCAATTCGACAAAATGAATCAAAAAATTAAAAAAAAAAGCAGAAAATACA